CGGCCACGGTGGCGGCGTCCTGGCCAGGCGCCAGAGTTACGGTGGCGGCGTCCTGGCTAGGCGCCACCACTACGGTCACGGCGTCCCGGCAGGACGCCAGCCGCCAATTCGTGGTTTTAGATGGCTTCGTACCTCCTTTTCCGGCGTCAACGGCGTCTCTCCGGTGCATCTACCCGACGTTGAGGGCTCTTCGGTTTCACTCGGCGATCCAGTCCTGCTCCACATTTTTTATGAGTGAAAAATTTTATTTTCGGTAAAAATTAAAACAAGGGCAATAATGTCAACATTTTTTAAAAAATGTGGGCTTTATGTAGAAAAACGCGGGCGATGTTTAACAAATCCCTATAAATAACCCATTTCAAACTCCACATTCATTTTTCACACATTAGCGCCAAAAACCAAACCAAATTCTTTCTCCCAAAAAATGTCAAACTCCGCAGCTCGTCTTCGCAGATACTCAAAACCCACAAAACACCAAAACTCTCTCCACAAAATACTCCAACCACAATCACTCCCATTAAACCAATTTCAATCAAGGAGCTCGCCGAGGAACCCGACCTCGACGAGCTTGCGAAAAAGATTAACCACAATGCAAGTATATCCTCCAAGTTCCGTAGTCGTCACAACATTTACGACTTTACGATTGCTCGTTTTTCCAATGCAGAGCGATATAATTTGGTTGAATATGTACTTGATAAACATAAACACTTTGAGGATATTTCCCGCGAAGGCTACGCGCTTCGTCTCATTTCGCTGTATGCGAAAGCTGGGATGTTTGATCATGCACACAAGCTGTTCGACGAATTGCCTGAACTAGGTTGTCCTAGAACTGTTAAATCTTTTAATGCCCTTTTGAAGGCTGCGGTTGAATCTAAGAGATTTGATGAGGTTTTCACTCTTTTTCAAGGGATTCCGGCTGATTTGGGGATTAGTTGTGATGTTGTTTCGTATAATACTTTGATTCATGCTCTTTGTGAAGTGGGGAAGCTTGAAGAGGGGTTGTTGATGATTGATGAGATGAAGGCGAAGGGTGTGAACCCGAGTGTGGTTACGTTTAATACGCTTCTTGGTGCGTTTTATAGGAGGGGTTTCGAGGGAGGTGAATTGATTTGGGGTATTATGGATGAGTATGATGTGGTTCGGGATATTCGAAGTTATAATTTGAAGTTGCAGGGTTTGGTTGATGAAGGCGAGCTTGAAAAGGCGGTTGCTTTGTTTGAATCATTGGAGACTAAAGGGTTAAAACCGGATGTGGGTACTTTTAATGTGTTCATAAAGAAATATTGTGATGAAGGAGATATAGAAGAAGCTAAAAGGTTGTACTATAAGTTGTGTGAAAGTTGTATTACCCCGAATAGCATTACATTTTTCTTACCTTGTTCCGAAGTTATGTGATGATGGAGAATATGAATTGGCATTGGATTTGTGCAAGAAGATGTTCAAGAGGCAGTTTGTGGTTGATGAGGCTCTGTTGCAGCTTGTTGTCAATGGGTTGGTGAAGGAATCGAAGATTCAAGAAGCTGAGGAACTTGTAGAGCTAGGGAAGTCCAATAGCTTTGTTCAATATGATTTGGTGATGCCGTCAGATAACACAGAGAAGCAAGAACAGAACAACTCGCCGTGAAGTTAGCACCTTGCCGTGGCTATTTTGTGAGTACTGAAACTGATTCTCCATCTTCTTTACAGTGCTTGATGTGCTACTGATTCTCCATCTTCTTTACAGTGCTTGATGTGCTACAGCTTTTCCTTTTGGTGGTCATTTTACTTGAACTAGTAGTATAATGCTTAATTAGAATGTTTGATTTTCGATTGTTTCATGACTTAGTAGTTTATAATTGTGTTTGTAGTTTTATAATCATTCCTCTATGAATTTTAGCATTTAAATTGATCGAGACCAGAATTATTTGCTAACCTTGGAGAACTTTTTGGGTGGTATCTTAATTGAATGATAATCACTTCCCAATTTTTATTTACTTTCCAATTTCTCACTACCTCCCAATTTTTATAATTTTGTCTCTTAAATTTCTTCACTTTACTTTTCATAAGTTCTTTTTTTCTTTTAAAATCATGAACAATAAGAGTAAAGGGTTTGGTGCCTAGTTGGGTTGTGAAAAGATTAAAATGAAAAAAAATAGAAAGAAGAGTTGGTCAAATCTCAAATGACTATCATTTATTTATAATTTTGATGAACTTTGTAACATAAAATTCATGAAAATTTTGTCGATAAATGTATTATTTATGATATACGACTCCATAGTTTTGAGGCCCTTATTTAGTTTTCGCTTTGGGCCACGAAAATGTACAAGACAACACCGTGCAATATTGTCGTAATAGGATATCTATGCTCTATTGCACATGAAGCACTGACTTCATGTGTTTCTCTAGGCTTGGAAGACGTTGATTCTCATCGTAGTTGTACATTATTGGAATCATCCTTGCTAAATTAAGGAAAGCAACCTTGAATTCTGCTGAAATTGGAGAATGAGACAGGCATTCCTTATTGAGGCACTTCCATGCATCTGAAATCATCAAATGAACACATTCGTGTGCACTTTCAGCTGAGCTACCTTTATATTGGTTCATGTAGCATTCTATAAATGACCCGTCATACCCATCTTGGTTCTCGTCCTGCAGAATAAGATTGAAATTACAAGTAATGAAAATTAGCCTTTCAATTCCATATACAATGATAACTTCTGCCACTGTCTTTTTCCGTTTGAGTTTTATGGTTCAATTAGGATTCGAGCTTGGTACGTAGGGTGTCAACTGTAGAAATTGCTATTAGTTATACAGGCAGTTAGAAATATTCTCAGCACCTAAACTAGAAAAGGAATCCAGCAACCAGAGTGAGTACCTTAGAAGTCCCTAAATCGTCCCAGAGTCGAAGAATTTCAGCCGCTGAAGATACAATGCTGTGATGGCTGTTGAATAGGTTTGTGCTTCTATGGTTTACAGCTTCACCTAAGAGAGAGAAGACGTTTGCATAAACAACATAGACTCCTGAACTAATTTTTCCATTCTCCAAATACTCCTCAGTGGTAGGCAAGTATCCCAAAGAAAACCATCTCATCTCCAATAGGAAAGCATTACATAACTCGGCCCACTGAAACAACATATAAACCATCCAGTTAAGGATTAATTGATTTCCTTATCCAGACTTGCTGTCAACAATCAGTTCTTACTCGTTAACAGATTCTGCTTACATACCGCTTTTCTAAGACAGTCTCTGGGGTTCTATCCATGTTTATTGTATACTTTGGCGCTTATGCTATCTGTAGTGTCATAGAGAGCCTTGAGGCACATTGACATGCAGTCTGGTAATCCCTTGATATTGGTATAGTCCCATCTGTTGACGGCTTCTGTGAAGAGAGTGAGCTCCTCGAGTGATCCATACACATCAAAGATATCATCAATGATATAAATGAATGATATTGCTTTTGTGAGTTCTGTCCTTAACTCTGTCATATTGGGGGCTGGGAGAATGACAATGACCACATATGCCATTTGGCTGGTTGATTTCTTGCAAACTTCAGCCTCTCCGCCAAGCAAAGCTCTTTCCACCATCTGATAGAATACAGCAGAAAGTTAGTGTCTGAATTGGATTACTATGTTACAAAAAATTCTTTTGCAATTACCTTGTAACCTGAATTATTTCTTCTCTGTGAATTATTTGAGACTCGTTGACATCAATCATTGCTAGATATTGTACCTCCTTTATCCAGTCAGTAATACCACAGCAATCGTGAAGATTTTTCATCGAAATTTCAAAATTGTTAACTTCATTCTGTCTTAGAAGTCTTGGCAGGCTTTTGTGATACGGATTGTGCAATGTTGTTCGTATTACTCTTGCCTCATCAGATTGTCCACTTCCATTCATCAAGTTGGATTTCAGGAGACTCTCACAAAATTCAATGGCATCATCCACTATGTGATCCCCTGGAGTACTCAGCTGAGAAGCTTCAAAGAGACTCATCCGTCCCTTCATGTCCCTGTCAAGTTCTTTGCTGAACTTCCCGTCTTTGTTTTTGAATCTATTGAGAATTTCTGTTTTAGAGAATCGAGCTTGATTCAATTAAGCTTACAGTATTTTACAAGAGGTAAAGAACAACACAGACAAAAATAATCTTTCTACAGCACAGGTAATCAACCATATCAGAGGCCAAATGACTTTAGAGGGGGTTTGGTATTTGCATACTTTGTATATTGGCTGTATGTAGTCAATCTGCTTACCTGCAGACACATTGTATCCTGCTTGTCTCAGAAGTCGAAAGCGAAGAGCAACATCATGAAGATTAGAACCATCTTCAACCATAGTGATACAATGCACATGATGCCTTTCTAGCACATCATGTATATCGTCGTGAAAGTAATGTTCAAGGCCTAGTCGCTGGATGGCATCAATCATGATCAACTCTTCTACCTGACTATAACTGCTCAATTTGCTTCTTAGTATCTTCTTAATCTTTTTCACCGTGTGCTGAAGCTGATATTCCTGCTGCTAATGGAAGAACATAAAACCTCATACAGAATACTTGTTAAATGATGCAAATAACAGGTTAAGTCTCGGCGCATAGCACCTATTAATTTCAGCGTATATAAGATGACAATCTTGCAATTAAAAAAACTATTCAGATAACTTATATTTTAGTGGTACATTATATATGCATAATGGTACATTATAATGTACCACTAGAGAGTCAACTTTTTCCAGAAGTTGAAACTTATAGGATGTTAAAAAGTACCACTACACTCGTAATAGTCCACAAAGAGTACTATTCAGACAACTTATATTTTAGTGGTATATTATACATGCATAATGATACATTATAATGAACCATTAGAGAGTCAACTTTTTCTAGAAGCAAAAATTGAATCAGCAAAAATTACTTGCTTACCCTCCTATTTACATAGCTCGCCCAGCCTAGACTCACTCTAGTGGAACTGCCAATATTATTGTGTACTTGTATAAAAGTGTGTAAAAACAAAAAATGAAAAACAACATCCAAAGGAAGTACTAAACATACGTTAAATATGTATTAAATGAAGACTCAACTGTACAAGAGATTTGATCATCGATGAAGCTATCCTTTGTAATGGCATGCACAATAAAATGAAAATCTTTGAATCCCTTATTTTTTATATTGCTAATATTTCTCATGGAATTATAAGTAGAGATGACAACAGAAGTATCCATGGCTATTCGAGTTTCCTTTTTCGTGAGGAACGACAACACGGGAAACACGTTAAGGGGAAGGGCACCATAACAAGCAAACATAGTGTGGAGTTTTCTTTCTTTGCACTTCCAACTACGGAGTATGTGGTATTTAACGCTCATTGATAAGGCTAGCCTAGTTTCTCTTTGGTGGTTGGAAAGCTGATTAATCTTACTTAATAATTAGCAAAACAAATAGACTTAAGTTTTTCAGTATCTCGTGGTGCCTTGCTTGAATTGAGATTTTGGGACCATCTGGAAAATGCTTCTGGCAATACTAAGGTACGTACAGCCACAGTATGTACAATTTGGTTGTTGTAACTCATGAATCTTAACTGGTCGTACAACATATATACCCCACCCTAGATGTTTTTGTGAAAAGTATTGTAATAGAAATAATACATATTATGTATATTGGATGTATACAAAAATTTTTTGATCGTTCTGAACCCCACCTGAGTGCTGAGTCATACCCCACTGCTACATAGTACAAGTATATTAATTTCTTGCATGTGATTATGCAAAATTTAGTGCAATGTCAGCTTTCATAGCTTACTATGTAGTCCGTAATTCCATAAATAACATGAAGTATAAGTTTCCTATTTTAACAAGTTCTTTAATTATTTGAGAGTAGACTACAAAAACACACGTATAGATCAATGTAAATAAATAAATAATGTTTAGTTATTTTCAATCTATCTTTCTTTATTATTGTTATCTTTCACCCGTAGAAGATATTTGAGACCAAAAAAAAAACTCGTTACAAAAAAGTATTAAGGGTTGCAATTTAATGGGACGATCGATATTATTGCAATTTAATGGGATCATGTAATTGTTACTGATAAAGAATATCCATAGAATATTCTCATCCTAGGTTTAGGATATATTTTGTATAAGATTATCTTTGATATCTATACATATTTTATAGTTACCTAATATGATTAGGTTACTCATTGTAACCCTATAAATATTGATCAATGGAAATCACTCTAATCAAGGAATTTAGATTATTTGACATGGTATCACAGCTTAGGTTAGATCTTGGGATTGTTTATATCTAAAATTTTCTCAAAGGTGTAAAGAGGATAAGATCGAAATATTTATCAAAGGGGCTATAAGCTTGTGTATTGAAAATTGACAATGGAATCGTGAGACTAATAAGTTGCCAGAAGAAACTAAGGGATAAAATGAGTGAATGCTAAGCTATTATTCCCTCCATTTTTAAATACTTTCTCTATTCTTCTTTTTCGGCTGTTTTTAAATACTTGTTCCATTTTCTTATTTGGAATTCTTTTACAATATTTAATTCATTTAGAACATATATCATATTATACGAAGTATTAATTTCATATTCTTTCTCTTCCAATTCTCTCAACTACTTTTATTTTTTACATTTTTTTATTCTTTCCCTT